AGATGTGTATAAGAGACCTGATTAGTGGATTGTGATTGTGACGTTAAGTAATATTGAAACATGTAAATTTTGCAAATATGAGTGCCTGTTCTTTTTAAAAAAATAATAATAATAATGTTAACTATTATGTGTTGTTTTCTTTCTGTATTTACAAATCGTAATTATATTTTTTAAGAGTTCTCCTCCAAGATTTAAATTATAGTATTTTTTTCCGCCGAAGGACAAATTAACATTAAGACAAATACTTACCAATTAATCCATGAACATTTTCTGACAATCCCTGTCCATTTTCAATGTACACTCCCATGTACCCGACCTTCATGATGTTGTTGCCGGTCACCGCATGTCGCATTGCAACTAAAGTGATATTCGGTTGGATGTTGACACGGACAAATCGTTTGTTCACAATGCTTATCGATAAATCCTGAAAACCAACGGCTAAGTTATAATCCCATGTAAAGGTGTGCACCTCATCGAAAGTTATCTGCAATGGGCTAACGATTATCGTTTTATTTCCAATAACAAAGGTCACATCTCCAAAGTAGGAACGCTTTCGAAGTTTGCCAGGTCGGATGAATGGCTCCTCGATAATGTTACCGGTAACAGTGATACCTTCGCAATGTAAAAACAACAAAATTATGATTTTGTAAATAATGTCCGTAGGATAGGAAAGCAATATCTGCTTTTTTGCTCTGCAACAATACTTATAAGTAAAACCTTTGATAACTCTATTAAGGTTGGAATAGTAATACTAACAATAACACAACATTTGTATACAAAGCATTCTGTTGAAAAAAATATAGGTTGGTTTCCTTTTTAATAGGCCTTCAAAATCAACATTTCAAAGAAAACTGCATCATTCATTTTACTTTATTATCTATGTGTGAACGAGGAATTAAAGCCAAATCTAAAACATTTTCAAATGGTGTATTGGAGAATGGTTATATAGATGGATAACGTCAAGACGCATTCTGGTGGTGGTAGTGGAAATGTGTGAAACGTACAGCATCGATACTTTTGGAGGTATTAATTATAGTAACCATACCATAACCTTTGGTGCAGCATAGCAAATTGTTACCATAAGCATAGCATAGCAAATTGTTATCATAACCTTTGGTGCAGCATAGCAAATTGTTAACATAAGCATAGCATAGCAAATTGTTACCATAACCTTTAGTGCAGCATAGCAAATTGTTAGCATAAGCATAGCATAGCAAATTGTTAACATAACCTTTAGTGCAGCATAGCAAATTGTTACCATAAGCATAGCATAACAAATTGTTACCATAACCTTTGGTGCAGCATAGCAAATTGTTACCATAAGCATAGCATAGCAAATTGTTATCATAACCTTTGGTGCAGCATAGCAAATTGTTACCATAAGCATAGCATAGCAAATTGTTACCATAACCTTTAGTGCAGCATAGCAAATTGTTACCACAAGCATAGCATAGCAAATTGCTTATCATAACCTTTGGTGCAGCATAGCAAATTGTTACCATAAGCATAGCATAGCAAATTGTTATCATAACCTTTGGTGCAGCATAGCAAATTGTTACCATAATCATAGCATAGCAAATTGTTACCATAACCTTTAGTGCAGCATAGCAAATTGTTACCATAAGCATAGCATAACAAATTGTTACCATAACCTTTGGTGCAGCATAGCAAATTGTTAGCATAAGCATAGCATAGCAAATTGTTACCATAAAATAATGTAAGGTTTGGTGATGGAATACCTGGTGTGATACCTAGTACTTGTGCGTGAATAAAGTTTGCTACATAAAATAACAGGGATCTTTATGGTTTATGGTGGTAGGGATGACTGCAAGACTTTTGTAAACCGTCCGTAAGTTCAAAGTATATCTTTTTATATAATTTTCTACCATTTATATTCTGAAATTATTACTTCAATAAAATATTTTTTAAAATAGATTCGCCTCTTTGTCAGTTTTCTAAATGGAGTGTTTAAGAGAACAACCAACAAGTATCAAGTATCAAGTAAAATAAAGATTAATTAATCAAATTAATAAAATAAGTCTACATGTAAATGATGTGGTCTTTGTTAAAATCAAGCAGGAATTTCGGATCAGGCCCGGTTGAAACCTGTAATGCAAAGGGAGGCATCTGAAACACAGATCTGCATAATTGATTTACACATAATTATAAAGAAGTTCATTTGACAAAAACATGTGACATGCCTAAATATGGTCATGATGACATGACATCATGACCATATATAGCACATCATGTAGACAAAGCTAAAGATATTTGAAAAAAATGCTATTTATCCCACCATATTACAGGTCATTTTGATTCATTGGAGATTTTAAATTAACTTTTTTTTAAATAGTTTATTGGGTACAGGAAATTTGTCGTAAAGTTTACGTTTATATTGTGTGGTAATCGATTTAATTTGTTAAACGAAACTTGTGTTTGTATTTGTTTTAATTACTTGTGTGACCACATTAAGATATTTCTCCAACTTTTATGTGTTGTTCTCGGTTATAATGGTAGAAAAGAAATTCAATCAATCAATATTTCGTTTTTAATGCCTGATTTGAAAATAATGAAATTGGGTCGTGAATGTTGAGAAATAAAGTTAGTTTTCGGAGTTAGTTGTAACTGTTCTGATTTCTATGGTGAGACTGCTAGCGAACTTGACATTCACACGTACAAAAATCTTACCAAATGTAACAAAATGTAACCAAAAGTAACATTTTACGGCACGTGAAAGTACCTCCGTGTAATATCCTTGTAAAATCTCGGAACGTCTCGGTAATCTTTACCAGCCTCGCTGAGGCTGGTAAAGCTCCCGAGATGTAGCATGGATGGATCTGCGCATGCGCAGGGATTTCAACACATCAACAATCTACTGTGTTTCACGGGGTTCTTTGAATTTTCTTCTTTCTGCACGCGATTCTGATCCACTAGAAATAGATAGGCCTAGTTTTTCTCAATGATGAATGCATTACCCTTGTTATTGATGTTAATAAGTAATGGTAGAAGAAGCAGATATACATAAAATGAACGTCGGGATGGTGTTAGTACATCATTCCTGATGATGACATAATTAATGTCGAAATATTGAATCCCAACACGATGGCGTGTATTTCAATACTTGGAGTATGTATTATACTTTCTTGTGTTAGTACTATTACTAGAATTATCAAGAGTCGACAGAAACGTTGGAAGTTATGCCTAGTTTAGTAGTAGTAGTACAGTAGTTTATAGTAGTTGTTAAGGGCATTGATTGCTCCGAATGTTTACAGTGATGGTGAGTTCAACAGTCCATCTGTGACAGGGGTTCTCAACTAGGCCTAGGCCAGACCTATATCGCAGTAGGGGAAAAAATGATTCATTGAATAAACACAGTACATTTTACACGACCTTGGCAGTACCTTACAGACGCGTGTGAATGCTTTTTATCTCGGTAGGAATAACTCGGGAGATAGCTCGGTTACAATTTGTTAAATTTAATTTTACGTGTGAATCGGGTATTAGACTGACACAGGTTCAGGTTGATGATTTAGGAACAACAGGAAGCTTTCGCTAGAACGGAATCACTCATGCGTGACCGTCCTGCCTGGCGTCCTACGTTCTTTTGCATACGTAGATTTGGCCAAATTGCGTTCCAGAATCTACTCGACGAGGTAACATTAACGTTCTCGCATGCGCAGATGACTTTTAGTGACGTCATTACGTTCTACGTCCTCCGTCGTCGTGCAATCAAAAGCTCCTTATTATCACGTGTCTTTATGCTGCGCATCGTCTAAATCATATCATCATCTTCAACTTCTTATTAACAATGGAATGAAATTATTTCCTCAAATATAACAAATAATTATATCTTACCGTGTTCAGGATCTTGGATGAGTCGGTAATTATCGCCAGCGAGTCCCATGATGTTAAAGCAAACGTACATATCAGATTGAGGTACATGTACCATAAAATGGGGATCACCGTCGGCTATAAATCAATAAATCATTTTCGGAAACATTCTTTTAATAATTTTAATATTTTTAAATATTTTTTCTCCAATTTTGTATATTTTTGTATAAGTATTAACTTCATGAAGTTTTCCAAAAATATCTTTAATGTTGCTTGTTAAAAAATGCCTCGTGTCTCTGTCAACAAACTATTAAATTCTAATTGTTGACAATGTTATTTCTATTATATTTTACGTGTTAATAATGCATGTGTCTTCTTTTGGCATTTTTATGATTGAATTCACATTTAATAGCAAGTACATCGGCTTAAACACCGTATTACACTCTTTGATTATAATTGAAAGGCCAGATACCTTTATATTATTTTACCAAAGAGAAACATAGTTTCATGTCAGTAAACATTTTGGGAAAAGCTTAAAAATAAATTTAAACAGCTAATTTAAAAGAAACAAATAATGTCGAGACTCATAAATACCAGAATCGTGTCCGGTGGGGAATAAAGTTTTTACTTTAGTTAAGTGTTTGTCCATTTTTAGATTTTCTTTTATTTTATTTTCTTGTATCACGGGGAGTACATTATGCAACTTAGTTCATGTCGCTGAACAATAAGACAATAAAGTTTATTCTATCGTATCTTTCAGAATAAAAAAAAATCTTTACATTGATTTCCACCCGATTCAAGGGTCTATGCAAGAAACAAATTAGTATCATTGCATTTTTAATCTAGTCCTAAGTTATAAAAACGTATTTACTTACCAAATGTAGGTGCTGTAATTCAAAAAGAGATGATAAAAGAAGATCAACATTAAGTTCAAAGAGAAATATACAAATCTTTATTATGGGTTTGATACCATTTGACTCACTAAGTCCTCCATCTTGCTGACCTCCTCTCTCATTCCCCTAACATTTTAATACGTCTTCTATGGCCTTTATTTTAACATGCAATGTCTAATTTATTTTTATACAACGGTTAATTCATATGGAGTTATGAAGTTACTGATTTTTACTTTAACATCAACCGTTGGTATAGGAGAATATTGAAAAATAGAACAGTAATTATTAAAAATATATGATATTTTACCAAGATGAAAGAATGTATGTTAAGCTTAAAAAAAATAAAGAATGTACGATAGGAGCTATTAAGGTTAAATTTATAAATATTCTGGTGCAACTGATTTTCGTATCTGCAAAGATATATTACCTCTACTTTGACTGTCTTGTCTGTAATCGGTTATTGCGTCTAATTTTCGTATTGCTTGCCATGTTTTTCGAATTAATTTTTCAGTAATGTGTCAACATCATCTCAAGTCAACATTACTGCCTTGAAGCAAATATACTAGAAATACAAGATAGAGCACTCGCATAGCAAATGTGGGGCGGACTACGTCACACCTTACACGCATATCCAGTCGTAAGTGGCGCCCTTCAGTTTTCAATATAGCAATTTACACGCGTTTATCCAGTTCATATCCAGACGTAACAGGGCGCCCTTTTGTTGCTAAGTAAATCCAGAAGTACGCAGCGCCCTTCTCTTTTCGCTAATATCAGCTAATGATGTAAACTTTATCACTAATCACAGTCCGGTAATACGATTCTACACTTATTTAATTCTTCTGCTTTATTTATGCCTAGGGCCTACTTGTTTGTATCTTATGGATGGCAACAATGTCTACATCCACCAAATGGGCCGCCAAAAGAGGTTATGTATTCACCGACGGGTATTCACCGCGATGTAAAATTGGCAGAGGTTTTTTAGATCCAACAGTACCGGTACCTCATTGTTTTGTATTCCCAACACTCCTTTCGGTGGAACACTTTTTTTCATTGAAGAAGAACTCTATCTTGTGTTTCTAGTATCTTTTACTTGAAGTATTTTAAATGGAAGTCAATAAACTGAATATCTGTCTATGTCAGGCTATCTATCTATATATGCAACTTAAACAAAACTTTAAATTTTTGGGGAAAAAATATTCTTAATAAATATAGTAATAATTTTTATTATTTTTAGAAGATTTTAATAATTTTTAATTAGTACAAATTTCATATACTTACATGTATGCATTAAACGGCCTAAAGAAAAGAAACAAGAAGATCAGGTTAATGACGTACTGTAAACACCTTATGTAAACGGTAATATTGTTAAATATTACCGTATTGCATTCCACCCTTCAATTCGAGACCCCTAATTCTGGAACCCATCTTATATGAGGCCAGTTTTTCAATGTAGCAAATGATCACGCAGAAGGTGGGACATTATGATTCCATTAAGATATATTTTTGATTGCTTTAAGTGTACTAGTTAATGAGCATGGACACACCATATGTCGTTATCCATTGTAAAAATAATAATCAATTGCTTTTTGTATAAAACAAATTATTTAAGTCATTTATGTTATTTAATCATGATGTTCTTGAAAGAACCCAGCATTGTTTGTGTGCATATCGTAAACATGAATTTCAACGAATAAAACAAAAAATCAACAAAGACGCCAAAAATCGTTTAAGGATTTTGCTGTTAGTCGTCTCTGATTAGATAATCTTCCAAATCGCTTCTCAAGTGGCTAAGATTGAACATTAGCCAATCAGAAATTGTCGTTAAAAACTGCTATATACAATCTATCAATTTTTAAAATGAAACATAAACCTATAATGAAAAAAATTCCTTACCACCATAGGACGAAGCAGATCCCATAGACCTACTAGGTCCTATATGCAAATTAGAAGCAAACATTTTCCCTGTAAAATTAATAGAAATTTGGTCTGAAAAGTTTTCTATTATGTAAACAATTCAATATTTGTAATAATGATAATAATAATAATAATAATAATAATAATAATAATAATAAAGAGGATTATGATGTTGATGGACGATGATGATATTAATAATGACAATGTCGATGACCATGGTGATGGCATTAATAATGAGGATGGTGGAGGTGTTTACAATAACAATTAGGACAATAAATACAGAAAATAATGATAGGCCTAACATTAATTATGACAATTACATGTTATTTGTTGCAATGCTGTAGGATGTAATACTGTATGTGTCATTCATTTTTTGGAACAGAACAAAACATACCCCTATTCCCACTTGGTAGTCGTGGAGGTAATCTAGAATTCATGAAACTTCCTAAATGACAAAAGAAAGTTCTGTGGCTACAGTAGATATAAAAATATACCACGTGTTTGATCATTAAAATGTATGATAATAGATATATAATTAAATACTCAAATAGTATATTCAGAGTAGCAATTCATACAGTTTTATGGTAAGATGGCTCTGAGTTCAAATCCAAGTGTATTTATCGTGACTGAAAACAACTGTTGCTCCCTCCATAGGCTTCGTAATGTGACTAATAATAATGACAAATTTGATGATGACGTGGACGATGATGATGATGATGATGGACGATTATGATATTAATAATGACAATGTCCATGACCACGGTAATGACAATGATGAGGATGGTGGTGGTGTTTAAAATTACAATTAGGACAATAAAATAAGGGTAATAATGATAACATTAATTATAATGACAATTGCATGTTATAATGCTGTATAGGCTGTAATATGCCATTATTTAATTCTTGAAACAAAATAACAAAACATACCCTGTCTCTGACCAATAGCTGCTCCAGATACTCTAGATACTCCCAATATTCCTAAATGAAAAAAAAAATACTGCAATTACAGTAAATATTTAAAAAAAATACCAGGAAGGCCCTGGGTTCAAATCCAAGTGTTTTTTCTTGTGATTGAAAACAGCTGTCGCTCCCTCCCTAGGCTTCATAATCAGAGTTTATACGAAGGGCGCTGATACCCAAAAAGCTGGGCAACCACTGCGTAGTTTGACAAATCCAACTCCACTCCCTGTCAGTGCAGAGAACGCGAAGCCGTCTGCTGATCGCTAGTGGCTGTCTGAACGGGTCATGATTATAGACGATCCGTTGCGCTGCGCGCGCGTCGTGGCATTGCGTCCTTCATTAAATCGAGATGGTCGACGACCGTCGGGAGTAGTGATTCCCCGGCCTAAGAGAACGATAGCTTGACAATGAAAAGGTTCCCTAAAAAAGCACAGTAGCCACACAAACTGAAAAGATTAAAGTAATGTTACGCGGCAGTAACACTGATCACATATTTAAAAGGAACATAAAATGGCCTGACTTAAGGTTTCACTACCAGCACAGTTCAAATATAACATGCAGAGTGAAAATATCGTAACACTTCGCAAAGTTTGTTTTACCTGACGGAACGTCGTCCGCTTCTTTCTGTTCCTCTTTATTCGATGCAATGTATTCTGGTTTATCCTCTTCTGGTTTAACTACAATCAGTGACGTCAGTGGAGTGACGAAGTGATACTCAAGAGATAGTTTAAGGGCCTGCTGTTTCAATTCTTCTTTTTCAGCGCCGCTATTACTGATACCGCGACGCCGTAACAGGTCTTTAATCGACAAATACGCCCATAGACGCTCAGCAAAATCATCAATTGCATGTTTATTAAGGAGTGCTTCGGGTGGTTTCTAAAATAACAACAAAAAACATAAAATAATATACAGATTGCCTATTGTTCATTGATTCACTGTATATTAAATTTGATTTTAGCATTATTTGCTCTGAAAAAATGGTTCCATCACTACTACACACGCCTTATTATAAAGTTAAATATGTATGTAGAACTATTTGATAATTGGGTATGATAAAATATTGTCTAACCTCTGTATCGACTGTAAGTGGAAATTCTATAGCAACATCGACGGAATTTGCAGCAATTGTCATTTCAAGAATTTCGTTGGTAATGTTAGTCGCCTTTAGTTTACCGGTTACCACAAGCTCAGTACCTTGGAAATAATTTGGGAAAACAGTCTGCGTTAAGCTGTTCGTCTCTACTATTTTTTCAGGGTAATCGAAAACAACATTATAAAGAAGCGGGGTTGCAACTTCATCAAAGAATCCCTCTAACTGCAAGCTTGCCTTTGAATCGTCGTAAATCTTCCGAGCCAGGCCACGATTTCTCAAAGCCAGCTTCTCAAGAAATTTGTAGTCGACATTCTCACCAAAGCCAAGGTTGAAAAGCGAATATTTATTGTTTATTTCTCGCTCTACGTCTCTTTCAATTGCATTCAGGTCTGTTACTCCAGATGTCGGTTGTCCATCAGTCAGCATTATCAACATTGAAACACCATGTATGCTGTCATTTGCATTTTCCGTAAGTTTCTTTAAGAGCCTGACACCATCTATTAGACCTTCATGCAAATTTGTCCCTAAAAAATGAAATCAATCCATGTCAGCATTATTAGTGAGAAGGGAACAGTATTAGTATGTACTTAAGTCTGATAATCATTTTTAATTGTTTGATATTATATAATAAATGCAAATTATGACCATGGAGAAGCTCTCAATCATTACCGGCGAGGGCTCTTAGAGATGAAACAAAGTTCTTAGCACGTCTGATGTTTTCAGGAGTTGCTTGCTGAAGTGTATTTTTCCACTGCCGTGTGTAATCAGTAAATGTGACAATATTAAAATAATCTATGTCTCGCAAGTCATCCAGAATAGTGTTCATTGCATCTTTGGTTTGCTGTATTTTGCGTCCTGACATTGACCCACTAACATCAATGACAAAAACGACATTCTTCCGAACTACTGGTAGGCCTTCTGGGGAGAAGTAATGCACGAAGTATCCATTCACAATCTGTAACAAAACACACGCCTCTATTATATCTGGTAAAACACTTATAAGATAAATTTGTATCTAAGCAATTTATTACAATTTTCAAGAGAAAAAAAAATAGAACTAACTTGAAGTTCACCTCCGCTCTTTGGGTGGTTAACGTCATAACGAATGACGAAATCTCCTTGAATGCCATCCTCCGATTCCTGACGCTGTTCCTCAACTGTTGGCGCATATTCGATAAACGCTCTGGTGTCTCCTCCTTTGAGTATTAACTCACCAACACCGTGTTTTGTGACCTCCTTTCCATTAGCTTGCTCCTTCACCCAGCTTGTGTTCACTTCGCTCAGACCTTGAGTTTCAATAATTGCCACTTTTACATTCATACTCTTGACAATCTGTAAACATTCAGACACATACCAGTTTCAGTAGATCTAATAAAGTAAATCAACTGGTATTTCTAGATAATTAGTGTGAAGATTAATGTAAATAATATTTTTAAAATATATTGTTTATATGAAAATATTATTTACATTAGAGGTAATTGGCTAATATAAGAATACAAGAGCTATTAGCTTAACATAAGATACAATAATGTACCGTATGGTACGGTACATTACGCCACACTCAATCAATTAATGGATTTATAAGGCGCATATAAATACAGTAGCCACTATGAATTTCCACCTAACTTAACAAAGTGCATATACCCACTTCATCCATAAACTTTTTTAACTTGTAACATTTCCATTTTTAATAACCAAATGCCTATAATGTAAAAAATTTAAAATAATTTGCTGCATAAAAACATTACAGACGGCTAACATACGAAACACATTAAGACATACAGTACATCACACTCTGTGGCAAAAATCCCATCAAATTGAACAAAATGCATACACCGACCTCACTAATCAAGGTCTTGTAATCTCAAAAGCTCCGATGAGGCCAGCATAATAGAGGCATTCGAGTATATTGGCCCTAACGGCCACCCATACAAAAAACATTTATTAATCAATCAGCAAAAAAGATTAATCAATTAGCCGGCTATTAGAGCTCCTCATTGAAGATAAAAAGATCTATTAATCAATCAGTCGAGTTTTCTAGAGCTTCTCATTGGAGTTAATAATAGTAAAAATAATTGGCCCTAACGGCCGCCCATACAAAAGAGAATGAAAAAAAGATCTATTAACCAATCAGCCGGGTATTCCCAGAGCTCCTCAATCAGCTGATAGTTTCTGGAGCTTCTCATCGGAGCTAATGGCCCTAACGGCCGCCCATACAAAAAGGATAATTAAAAAAATATATTAATCAATCAGCCGGGTATTCCTAGATCCCCTCAATCAGCCGATTGTTTCTGGAGCTTCTCATCGGAGCTAATGGTCCTAACGGCCGCCCATACAAAAAAGAGAATGAAAAAAGATCTATTAATCAATCAGATGGGTATTCGTAGAATTCCTCATCGGAGCTAAAAACTAGAACTGTATATTTTAATTGTAATTAATTGATAGATCCGTGTTGGTAAAATTAATTCGTATGGCCTAGCAAGGCTAATACTTTATTGAAAGAAAAGCAATTGTTTAATACTGTTTTACCAACCTGACCAGGTCGAATACTGGTTCGATGCTCAAAATAACCGTCTTTACGTGTTAACATCTCTTGGTATATCAGTTCAAAAGTAACAAATGTTTTCTTGGCTACGCTAACCGACACCGAAAAACTGTTCACCTTCTCCGACCTGCAATGAAAATAATATAATTGGTTAAAATAATTGATGAAATTGATAGTAGAAAAAAAAATCTGTTGTGTAATTTTACAACCAAGAGACATCGAACCAACCATCGGGCCACCACTTAAATTGTGAGAGTTATATTATTATCATGTAACAAAACTATTGGAATTAGCCTGAGATATATTTTTTAAACATTGACCTCATTTTTAAGCTTTTTTTTGTTGATGGTGCATCCAGAAAAAAAATCAACAGTAAATTGAAAAAAAAAGTAATACGATTAACATTGCAGAACTAAAAATTCAGTTAACATGGCCAGGTTGGTTGTACAGTACATAAATATTGTTCTAACATAACGTCGTTATTTATTTATTATTATTTTGCCAATAAATTTAATTTACCTTAATGTTCTGTAGAATATAATGTTTATTTTAAATGATAAGTAAAATGAAAAGTAAAAAAGAATGATGAGTTGATTAATTGATAATGGAGGGTATTAAGCCGGGCACTCACTGCGACGGTCGTATGACCGTCGCACGACGAACCCACTCCGCCCTTCGTGAGCGCTAGACGACGCCACACCGTCTCTTCATTGCAGGTGGCAGTCTGAACGGATAGTCACTTAAAACAATCCGCTCTGCGTGCGCGTCGACCATCTGGTACAGTGAGTACCCGGCTTTAAGGGAGTAAGACAAGGGCTTTACTGTTGTTTAACGTGTCCTGCACTCTGACCCCTGTCCCTAGCTTCATTGTAGATCTTCTGAGCTTTTTCCTTTTCCTTGATCTCGGCAGGATACACAACGCCATCAATTTCCCTAAGTATGGGTTAAAGAAATTAAACATTCCTGAATTAAATTAAAATGGTATGCAATAATTTATATCTTGTGTGTAGTCCTACATTGTTTACAATACTTTATTGTCCTGTCGAATGCGAATTAATTATATTAAAAATAAAATATAGCACATTAGTAAAGCAAGTTTTACATTGGTATTTGGACCCACACAAAAAAAAAAGAAATATTCTTTTAATAACATACATTGAGAAGTTAGCAATGAACGCCTCTGTTGGAAGTCGAATAAGAAAGACAGCTTCCGCCGATTCATCGGCACGATTTCTCAGTATACTGGTTACGGTGGTACTAGCGAATCTTGAAGTAACAGCACCTCTTATCTGTAGTTTAGCGATCTCTGGTTTCCTCTGTAGAAATTAAGAAAAAAAAAAAACCGGCGTATATTTGAGATACTGGAAGTAACAGTACCAATACTAATATCGAACAGGGTGGTAGATTGGTATTCGGAAATCTTGCTGTGTTTTATTTGGCAAGAAATGATATCCGGTATTCCACTTCGTAATCTTCGTTCTTCATCTAAAAATGTCTTGACAGTTCTGTCTCGTAAAGGCAAAGCAAAAACTTATGGTCAACGTGCTTTTCCTTTTCAAGCCCCGTTTACATGGAATTCCATTTTTGTTTGCGATTCGTCTAATTCTCTTTATTTTGAGAAAAATCTTAAATTTATCTATTACTGGAACGTTTACTTGTTTTTTTCCTCACCTAGCGCCTTTGATAATTTTTTTAATTGGCGCTATAAAATATTTGTTATTATTGTTAATATTTTTATTATTATTAATAAAATTATTATTATTATTATTATTATTTTTATTAACTATTTTATTAAGAGACTAGCTCACTACAAGCACATTTATCCCTATAACAAAATTATTTTGAAAGACTGCAGGGCACGACAAAGACTATAATCCTTGTAATGACAAATTTGCTAGTCTTTTGCTCTTAAACAAAAACACAAACACAATGGATTGTATTATAACTTGTAGAAACCAATCCCATGAAAGTCAGAAAAAGACTAATTTCCAGTGTGGTTCTGCTGGTGGTTGGCAACCGGGTGACAATCCCCTGTTCATTTATGAATTTAATTTTTTTTTTTAACGTGCACATGGGCCATATTGCACACGAAACAAACGGCTAAGGCTCGGTTTCCATGGAATCGCTCACATTATGTGCGACAATTGTCGGGAAGGTTGAACCTGGTTCAACTTTGCCGATTGCTTTACAGACGATTCGAGGTGCCTTCCCGATTGCGTCGGGGCAGCTAGCAATGCACCCGATACATGCGATTCTATAAATCCCATAGACGGTACTCTATTGAAACTTGCATTTCAGGCCTACAGCTGAAACACAAGGACAACAACAACGCCAATTGGACTGGGAACCAAAAGATCTCCTCGGTGTACCACAGTGGCTACCACCAGTTTTGCCGATAGCACTAAAATGATGGTCATTCAATGAGACAGCGAATTTATCATGATGGTTTAACATATAGAAGAATTTAGACTTGAATTGACCTAGGTTATATATAATTTTATGATGCAGCCACCATCATAAGACTGATAAGGACCTATTTTTACTTGTTTTACTTAGTTACTAGGGGACACTAAACCATAGGAAGCATTTTTTTTTTCACAGAGGGCGGTAAACGTCGTGGAAGCAAAAAGTTGCTTATTCTGTAAACAATTTCAAGGAGTCCATAGACGAATTATAAGGGTCATACACTCAGCCCAATAGCATTTTTTGCCAAGCAAGACGAGTGTGTGGTGGTATGGTATGTTGCTTCACATCTCTTTGTTCTTCATTGTCGCAAACGAAACCATCTGTGTGAAAATGGTATAAATGTTGCGCAACAAATACATATCACTTCCAGATATTCAATTGATTGTCAATGTTGACAAAAAAATTCTCAATTCAACAACTTTCATTTTTACGACAATATCTTAAACTGAAAGTTTACTCACAAGTGACTTGGGCTTTTCGCCTTTTCCGTAACCCGAACCAACGTCTCGTTCACCTCGCTGTAAAATAGATGAAACTCCTCAAATCTATCCCATCAATTTCACCTTTATTATACGCATATTTTAATATACAAATGATCATAAACATAATTATTATTGCTGTATTTCAAAAATTACATCAAACAACAATCAAATGCCAATAACAGGATGCATTAAATTGGTTTACATATATATCAATACATAATATATATTTAAATATATGTATATGTTAAAAATCAATGTTTATAAAGATGCTTTTACCTCCAATGCCAAGTCTTCTTCATCTATATGAGTATCTTGTTCAACGCCAGTCAAAGGGGCTACCACGGCCAAAGGGGTTGCCCAAGATTGCTTTACAACTAAGCTGCCAAACCAGGTGATGCACACCAAAACTAACAGAGAAAGTCGGCCCATCATCTATCTGAGGGATTGAAATGAACTTTGCTAGCCAGTGTTTTTGCTACTAATAAACTTTACTCTACACACTAGTTGTGTCTTTAGAACCTTATTAATATTCCTAATAATATTAGGCCCATACCACATTCACAAGTACTAGAAACGTTTTGGTCGCTTTTAGTGACGTGCGAGTACGAAATCAGCGATATCTCGTGGCCTTAATTTTACCTGCCATAGATAACTCGAGTTATGATCCACTTGCATAACACATGTTAACACTGTGATGAATGGGATATTTCGTCAGTCTAATCGTAGTCGCTTTTACACGTGTTGTAATCATTTGGCTAAAGTGGTCATTATTACTCTCCACCAATAAATGACAAGAGGGCAGGTCCTACTTCCAGTCGAATGCGACTGCAGGTCGGTCCGGTCGCAGTGCTAGGTCCCGATAATGTGAGAGTTGCTTTAAGTATTTAGATTCAAAATTCCCGTTCCAATAAGTCTGCTACCAATCCCAACAATATACAAGTTGTACTTGTCGTCTTACATAGTTATTAATATAATATTCTTAGAATAACTATATAGTTTACTTCACAATAGTAAAGTTTACCTTAACTTTAGAGGGGCAATAAAGCTTTAAGATCAATTCAAAATAAATTATTGTAACGCTTCATGTGTTGCATCAAACGCATTAAAATCGCACCATTAGGCACATGGGAATAAAGCACTTTATAACAGGACTGAACAGGAAAACAGGAAAATTGTTTAGCTTACCTCTATCCTACTTGCTTGGCAAATTATACTCTAGACGTTACTCGCCTTTTTCCTGTGATTTATAGCCGGTATATGTCCGGAGATAATCTTCGATTACCAGTTTGTCAGCGAATCGGAGAGACGGAAGCTGTTAATGTGTATACAAGTAGGGCTACGTCACGCTGGATTCTGAATTGTTATCTAAAATAATATAAACTATATCCTAATGGAACTTGATGGTTTCCGTGCAGTGTCACAGGGTTATACAGTGGAAGCCATTATTAACCTAAGTTGAGCACGAAGCATCGTGTCATGACTTTTAAATAATTATTTTGACTATTTCTTATTCAAAAACATGAAATGCAACTCGTGTATATGATATTAACCCTACTGTGTAAGAGACCAAAATACACAACACACATGTACGAAATACGACGAACTTCATTGCAATCAAATCAAATCAAGTTTAACAAAGGTGGGGAAAACATTTTAAAAACATCACACACGAGAAACATACAAATATAAATAAAATAGAATAAATGCAATAATAGTCGATTATTGCAACAGGGGAAAAATAAAATCAATTAAACAAGTCGGACCGTCACCCAAAACCATAAAAAAAAAAAAGACTCGAATAATGTAATAATTACACATTCCGAGGGAGGTCTAATTGTTGCCGCCTGATGAAACAACTAGAATCAAACGCAAAATTCGTCTTCATCTATAATATTTTATACCAACAATGGCCCTAGAAATTTATTCAGGAAGTTCACTCTGGTGGAACGGCGAGATTGTGTACCTCTATAGCGCGGCTTTGAATACGGAATCGTTTTTAAGTGCTCTTAACAATGTTAGCAATTAATATGAGGAATCATTTTTTGGGAAATACGTGCTATTGATATTTTACACAATCAACAGTAACTTCGCCAATTTCGGAATGGAATGATGCTTATAAAATCAAGCACACATTATGAGACTTAGGGCGTTTTTGGTCGTTCGATAAACCGTGTACCTGTCTCTTATACACATCTAGATGTGTATAAGAGACAGCCTATATATTTTCCTATTTCTTAAACCTACCTACTATGCTATATTCTACCATAAAACTTGAATTGATATCTAAATGAAATCTATTGCTAGCCCTTAATTGATTAAGAGGATAAATGAAAAATATGAAAATCATCCAGTGTAAAATCGGAAGTATAATTCGAAAACCAGGTAATTGATATCCATTAGCATATTACACACACCCATTTGGAGGTGGCTCCAGCAGGGTGGGGGGGGGGGGGAACA